TAGAAGCCTGAGGGAAAGATTTACAGAGCAAACGAGTAACTGGACAGCTTCATGTATACGGTGAGTGATTGCTCTCTGACCTCTGAGTTCGGGTGGGTGAACTCTACCTCACACCAGGACTGACAGCCCCTCTGCCTCGATCCCCCTCTGCATCATCTCCAAGATTGGGTTTGGGCATTTAGTGCAGGACACACAGAGTGGAAAGGAACTTCCTAAGATTAGAGTTCCCTTCACAGATTACAGCCCTTCAGACATTCTACATAGAGAGAAGTCTCATGGGAGTGACTCAGCAGAGTCTCAATCCAGTCCCTGGCCCCTCCCCATGACCATGACACTGAGAAAACCATGCAGACTTTGGTCACACCCTGGCCTGAGGGGACCATGTAATCCTCACAGAGAAGCTCAGCCTAGAAACACCTCCCAAACCCCTGTCCCAGGGCTCCTGACTCCAGGGAACCTGGGGAGCCTGTGTCAGGTTGGGTTTGACCTCCTGGAAGGGCTGGGTGGGAGCAGTGGCTCTACTACTGCTCACCAGCCAGTGCTCAGCCCCAAGAGACACATCAGGGCAGGGACAGAGCCTAGTTCTTCACCTAAGGCGGTGTCAGGAGAGCACAGATAGACAAAATACCCTGTATCATTAGCTCACTCTTCTGAGGGACTTAGGAGACTCTGGAGGGAGATCAGGTCTCCAGGAAGGAACAGAGGAGAGAAGATGCTCCTGACAGCTCCTTGTCCACCAGGGGTCAGCCCAGGAATTCTCTCTCATGGAGGCAAATAATGGCAGTGGCCATTTAAGTCAGTGTCTCCTCTATACTGGGCTTGAGGTCAAGTATTCATAAATGTTTCAAGGTCAATTCACAAACAAAATGGTAATCCAGAGTCCATTTACCATTTGTTCTGTTTTTATTCAGGGGAAACGGAGGCACAGTGTGATACAGTCACTGAATCAGGCTCGCACAGACACAGCAAGGTCTTTGCACAGCCCCACCCTACACCTGCTACCAGCTCAGGGACCAGCACTCACTTGCTCTCTCATGAATGAGGGAAGGAATGATGGTGAATGATGACAGAATGAATTAATTAATGAATGAATGAATGATGCATAACCGCTAGAGAGACTGGAACCTGGATGCAGAGTCCTAAAAGGTTTTGGCCACACCTGTTACCTGTCCCTAAAGGTGATGAGAGCCATGTCCATCTCTCTGACCACCTGTCCCTGAAGCTCTCTCAGGAGCCAAGTCCCTTGGTGACAGTGGGGCTGTTCCACTGGGGAAGGTTTTGCAGGCTACACTGCTCCTGCCCTGGGGCAGCTGTGGGCTCTTGGTCCCTAGGATCTTTGAAATCACTTGTAACCCCCACTGTTCATCAAGGACATTCTGACTCTGCTACTTCTCTGCCCCTTATCTGCCTCCTCCTTCACTCCAGACACACTGCCCTGCTCTACTCTGCTTCCCCCACTGTGAAGATTGTCCTACTAACATCTGTGTCAAGGCTCACCCTCCCGGACAATAGGAAAGGACACAGAAATCAGTGGGAGCAGCAGTCCCGACTCCATCATGAGCCAGTTTCCCAGGTCACCAGGAGAAAGAGCTTCTGCTGGGCCCCCATCAAGGCTCTTTCCAGCCCCCGCCCCCACACACACAACCCTCAGCCCCCGCCCCGGCCCTGAGGCCAACAAGAGGAACAGGCCACTTGACAGGGACATGTAAACCATTGACTTACTCTCTATTTGACTCAGCCAGGGTGTCAAAGGCAGAAGGACAGGGCTCAGTCCCCAAAGCTCACGGGTTCACTTCACCCCTGACTGGTGACTCATACCCTTGTTCTGGTGTGAGGTTCCCATTCCTCCGCTGGCTCCCAAGACCTTCCCAAGGTGGGCCTGGTGACCCTGCACCATCTGACTGGTTCACTGCCTGTTTCACATATGTGTGTCCTCGTTGGTGACACCTTGACCGCAAGATGGGATCCTCTCAGACTGTGAGATCCACCAGCCACTCTCCTTTCTCTCAGATGCTGCCCAATTTGAATGAATTTGACTAAACTCCAGTTGTTTCCTGAGTTAGAAAGAAAAGGAAGAACACAATTTGAATGAATTTGACTAAACTCCAGTTGTTTCCTGAATTTGAAACAAAAGGAAGAGGACATGCAACAGGCCCATGTGGGGCTCCTCCCCATCTGCCTGACTGTCCATAGAAACAGGGAGGAACCTTCTCCCTAACTTTACTAACATGGCACATGTCCTTCCTACCAATCTGGTGTCTTCCCTCCCTTTATAGAGCAGAGACACCTAGACTCACCTCCTCCTCCCCATCCCCCCGACCACTTCTGTTCTCTTTGCAAGACTAACCTTCTCTCTATCCCAGGGAGTCCCTGATTTCAAACCCACTGTGGCATCTCCCTTTGGTCACAGTGTGACCTGGTTGGACAGAAGAACTTTGTCTATGACCTTTGTGCTCTCTAGACAGAAATTCCTCCAAAATCTGGCCTTAGAACTTAGGGGCATGAGTGATTTGCACATATTCTTTCACAGTTTAACTCAAAATCTATCTCATAACTGCCAAACACAAATGGACCATGAGGGCCATATTTTCAGCAAGTTCATGCTCCCCCACCTCCACAAGCCCCTCTTCTGTACCTGCTACTGTCTGTGTGTTGAGGAAGGATCCCTGCCCTCTGCAGTGGCAGAAAGGACATTACAGACCAAGGACAGAGGGCCTGGCTCTGCTGCCACTTCCAGCCAGCTCCAATCATTCCTCACTCTTTTCTAAATCTTTCCTGGACTCTGCTCTGCCCTTCTGGGGTCACTGCCTCATGTCAGTCACCAGTAAAGTCCTGGATAGATGACCACACCTTGTGGCCCTGCAGCCTGGGTACTGAACTCACCGCCAGACTTGCTTGTAGTCACCTGTGTTTTTTTTCTGCTCAGACTTCCAGTTCAGGACCACACTACCCAGTCCCCTCAGGGTTTAGGACTACGGGGTGGCCCATCATTACTCATCTCTAGGTCAACCCTGGAATGTAAGGCTTCAGTGGAAACACATCTTGACCCGGCAATGTAGGTCTGTGTAGCTGGAAGGGACTCAGCACCTGCATATTCCAGGTAGGCCCCAAGGTCAGCCAGGCAGTCAGCTGGTCAGTGAGGAACTAGGACAGGTGCCGGATGGTCTCTGACTCCCTGTCCTGCGTCTCTCTGTGATGAAACCCTGATAGTTATCTGACACCTAAGAAAGTCTGTGCTTTTTCTCCCAGCATAGAGAAGGCAGCCTTACAATCTCTAAGCGCTCAGATCCTCATGCATTTGTTTGTCTTGTGATGCACAGACCTACCTTATTTCTTTAAGAACTCAAGTTGGCTGAGAGGCATGAATTCTGATTGAAGAAGCCTTTGGAGTACTCAATGGGCAATGTTCTCTCTGTTGTCTGCACAGCGGAGTTACCCAAACCCAGCATCACAAGCAACAACTCCCTCCCCGAGGAGCACAAGGACCCTGTCGTGTTAACGTGTGAACCTTTAGGTCAGGCCCCCCACACGAATTCACACTGCCAGAGGTCAGGCTACATCCGTCCTTCTCAGGTCCACGTACACAGACCCCCACTTTGAATACCCAGGGGGGACATGAGTTCCTGTCCCAGGCACAACTGGCCAGTCTCGGCCTTGAACCAAGACCAGGAGGGGACGGGATACTCCTGTTTGGAAAGGCTCAGGTTTAACAAGTTTTCATGGGACAAACAGGTTAATGTTTCAGACTCAGGCTCAGTGACCAGAGAGGGCTATGGGTGGGACATTTTAAGTTGATGTTAGCCCAAAGACCAAGAAGCGATGGGTGGGACATTTTAAAACAAGGCTGTGACCCATTTCAGAGGGAGAGTGTGGCCCTTACACAGACCAGACCTTCCCCTTCCCTCTGATTACATCATGTGTGGCTTTGTTCTCTGCTCCAGATGGCCCGGATGCCCCCACCATTTCCCCCTCAGACTCCCATTACCTACGTGGGACAAACCTCAACCTCTCCTGCCAGGCAGCCTCTAACCCACCTGCACAGTATTCTTGGCTTATCAATGGGAGTTCCCAGCACCCCACACAGGAGCTCTTTATCCCCAAAATCACTGCACATGACAGTGGATCCTATACCTGCCTCGCCCATAACTCTGTCACTGGCCTCAATAGGACCACAGTCATGACTATCACAGTCTATGGTAAGTGCCTCCTGGACCATCGGCACTAGGCTGTGGGTTGCAGGTCTGTCTGGTTTTCAGAACAGAGCCTGGTGGTTGTTGTCCCCCATCCCGTGGCCATGGACACAAGCAAATCACAGTCTTCTCCTGAGCCCTCTCACTACATCTCTATAGACTCTCCTCCCTTGCTCTTCTGACTTCTCATGGAAGAGCTGGGCTGCAGCCTGGGAATGTGAGGAGGGGGTTCTCTCAGCCCCAGAAAGAGTCAAGTGGTGAATGGAAGGGGCTTCCCAGAGGGTAAAACAAAGGTCCTCAAGGTCAAGCTGCTTCTCCGGTCACTAACACTTTCCTTCTGTCACCTCCTGTCTGTTACATGCTCCATGTGCTACAAGGAACATACAAGGCTTTGAACAAGCTCACCTCTTTGCCCCAGACTAAAGGAGGAAACCACCTCTGAGGAGGGGTGAGCAGGACAGACCCCTGCTCCCTGCGCTGCTCCGGGCTCACCTGGTGACTGGCTGCTCTGTGCCCTCTGTGGTGGGACAGGGGTCCATGGTGAAGGTGCATGGGTTGCCTGTCTTCTGACTCGCAAAATCATGTCACCCATCAACACCATGGCCTCCCTCAGACCAGGCTGCATGGAAATGGGGAGACAGTGAGTCACAGGGGAGACCCCTCTGAGCTGTGTCCTGGCTCTGCAGTCACCAGCTGTACAACACTGTGTGACACAAGCCTATGTGACACTCCTATGGAGAGCAGTGAATGGTGGTGCTTACTTGACAAGTATGTAGACTCATGGGACATTAGGAGCATGTTGTGTAGTTTACTGAAGACACTAAGCATACCAGCCTGATGTTAAAATGGCCAATTTCTCTCTAGGGACTTCCTTCTCCCTGATATTCAATCCAAAGGCCAGGAAGAGAAAGTCCTATTCAGACTGAGAAATCTTTTAGATTGAAACTTCTGCAGGTCCTAAGGTCATGAAGACTGGCTGGGCTAAATTCTCTAATAAATTATTTAACAAAAGAGAAATGCCTTCCCATCTCTACGTATAGCCACTATACTCAAGAGGGGGTGTGATTATTTAGAAAGTTAGAGAAAGGTCGGGGAAAGAG